AGAGGCTACCCTGTTCCTCCCCCGTTCCTCCTCCTATTCCTCCTCCTCCTGTCTCCTGCCTCCTCCTGCCTCCTGCCTCCTCCTCCTCCTCCTCCTCCTCCTCCTCCTCCTCCTCCTCCTCCTCCTCCTCCTCCTCCTACTCCTCCTCCTCCTCCTCCTCCTCCTCCTCCTCCTCCTCCTCCTCGTGTCGTTTGTACTTTTGGTTGATTCTGGGCGCCCCCGAACCAGGGGCCAGCGCCCGCCCCGGGCGGTCTCCGCCGCGTCCTTGGCCGACAGCCCGCGCCGCTCCTCTGCCGCCGCCCTCCGCCCGAAGGCGAAGCAGCCGCAGCAGGCCGGCCGGCCGTCCCGCGGCCGCCGGCCCGCGCCCGGCGCCATCTGGGGCGCCCGGCGGGCGCATGCGGGGGCGCCTGCTTGGAAGGGCACGGCGGGCGGCCTCCGAGCACGCACTCTTGACGTCGCAGCGCGGCAGGGGCAGTCCGCACGCGCGCTCGGGCAAGCCGGGCAGCGGCATCGCTACGCGTGTGGCGGCAAGAGCGAGGAAAAGGGGGGGAGGGGGCGGCCGCGGGGCGGGGGAAGGGAGGGAGGGCGCTCATTTCCGAGCACACACGCACACACACATATGATCCCAGGTCGAAGGTTTACTGGCCCCCCCCGGCACGGTGAGTCCTACGGTTCCCAAAGCCCCCCCCAAGAAGGGGTGGGGGGGGACGACGACGACGACGACGACGACGACGACGACGACGACGCCGACGACGCCGAAGCCGACGTCGACGGAAGACGACGTCGATGACGACGACGAAGACGACGACGACGCTGACGACGACGACAACGACGCCGACGCCGACGTCGACGCTGACGCCGACGCCGACGCCGATGCCGAGGCCGACGCCGACGCCGACGCCGGCGCCGCTGGTGCCGACGCCGACGTCGACGCTGACGCCGACGGAAGACGACGTCGACGACGACGACGCTGGCGAAGACGACGACGACGCTGACAACGACGACGACGTCCACCCTTCGCCACGCCACGCCCACGCGGCCACGACCACAGGGGGGGGCTCGATCCCACATGGATTAAATGTGGGCAACCCTGGATCATATATACATATATATATATATATATATATATATATATATAGTGTGTTCGACGGCGCGTGCCTGGAAAGGCACGGCGGGGGGGGGTCCGAACACACACATACAAACACGCACACACACGCACATTTGTATATACATACATATGTATATACAGATATATAGGTACATGTGTATATATATATATATATATACACATACACTCACATCTACACATATACATATACACATACAAGTATGGATACATGTGTGTTTTGCATGTGAAATATGCATACGCGTATCAGATGATAAGACCCCCCTCCCCCGGATGGCCAACACCAAATTCGGCACCCTCCGATGAGCTCGTGGACAGCTCCGAGACTGCCCGAAAATATGCACTAGACGGATCACGACCGGTGCAGGAGGGCCTCTTGTAGGTCCGAGAGGGCTTCAAGGCGGCCCAAGAGCGATCCACAATGTCCCAGGACCACCCAAAAGCGTTCCACTATAGCACGTGATGGCTCCGAAACGGTCCGAGCGGGCTCCAAAACAGCCTACACGGCACAGCATATGACTGTCAAGAAGGTTCCGTGAGCCCCTAAAACGTTGTTTTTCCTGCGAGCTTTTGCAATCCCCAGACATCCCCACAGGGACTCAAAAAGGCTCCCAACACGCCCCAAGGGACCCCCGAAGAAACCTCCAAGAGTGCCAAAGGTGGCCCCGAGACGAAGCCAAGAAGGCTTCAAAATGGTCCAAGCCCCCGAAAACAGCACCAAAGGGCCCCAGGACGGCCCAAACGGCCCCAAGACAGCTGAGAAACGCCCCCAAGAAGGCCCGGAGAGGCCAACCTCATATATTGCCGCAAGTTGTTCTGGGACGTGTTTGGTTACCGACGTGACAATCTCTAACCACAACGTACCTCAGCACGGACGGTGTTCTGAGCCCTCAGGCCCCCAGACCGCCCAGAGACGAACGCGCCTTTCGCGCCAAAGCTCCCGCGAGCTCCAAGTGGCGGCCAAGGCTCCCAAGAGCCCCGGTGGCGGCCAAGGCTTCCAAGATCTCCAGGTGAGGAGAAGAGGAGGTTTTGTTTGACCGCGGGGTTCCAGCTGCAGTGACAGATGGCCGAGGAAGAGGGCCTCGGCCTCAGCAAACACAGGCTGCAGCGACGGTCTGTGCACTGCAAGCGGCTGCGGGCGACCTGCAGCGCTCCGCTGCCACCCGAGGCGACGCAGCGGGATCGGGGCGAGCCCGAGAAGCCGTGGCGTCGAGGCTCGACACCAGGGGACCGCTCGATAGTCGAACGGCCCCCCTCTCCCCAGGGAGATAGATGCCCGAGCCGAGGCCAGGGAGCGGGGGGCGTCCCGCGGCGCCCCCGAGGGCGCAAGCAGAGAGAGAGGGCATCGGGCGAGCCAGCAGCCCGATGGCCCGGGGACAGAAGGCGCAGCCTGCATCGTGCGCGCCTCGCCACGAGCAGAGTCCGAGCGGAATGGCGCGGCCAGCCCGAACGGTCAGCAGGCTGAGCAGCACCACCTGTGGCACCGACCAGTCCACGGGCAGCACGAGAAACCGCAGCAGAAGGAGGGGCAACGGGTGAGAATGGAGTCCAGCCTGGCCAGAAGGCCGCAGGCGGGGCTGACCCCTCAAACGCGAGAAATCGAATCGCCGTCTCCCGAGATCCGAGGAGACACCTCCAGGGGCGGTCCTCCTCCTCGACCCGACAAGATTCAGCAACATGCCTCAGGCTTGCCTGGAATCCTGGACTGGACTGCCAGGCGTCTCGAGGGCCACGGCAATGGTGGGGGCACCTCCCGTGGGTACAGTGACTCGAGGAGGAGGAGGGGGAGGAGGAGGAGGAGGAGGAGGAGGAGGAGGAGGAGGAGGAGGACGAGGAGGAGGAGGAGGAGGAGGAGGAGGAGGAGGAGGAGCGGGGGAGGGAGGAGGAGGAGCAGGAGGAGGAGGAGGAGGAGGAGGAGGAGTAGGGGCGGGAGGAGAGAGCTCAGAGTACGAGGGGGGGCACTGTTGTGCGCCTCTCCGTCCTCATCTTACCTCTGGAGTTGTTCGTTTACGTCGCAGTGGGCCCACGTGGAGCGGCTTTTCATCCAGAGACGTTTCTTGACGGTCCTGGGGACAGGTTCCAAGGGCCGAAAATAGCGAAAACCGGCCGTCGGATCTCGGGGCTTGCCACGCGCGACGTGCTGGCGAAGCGGGTGACGAAGCCACCGCCCGTGCTGTCGGGCACCGTGCACAGAAGCACCACGGCACCTCGGGGCTCGTCCCTCCAAGAGGCTCCAGGGACGGTGGCCACCGATCGTGGGCGTGGTGTCGTCGCTGCCCTCAGAGAGGGGCCACGGGGCAGAGGGGAGAGGACGACGATCCTCTGGAAGCCCCCTGACGCCTTCCAGGAAACAAGATGGCCAGCCCTCCGAGAGATCCAGAGCCGCGCTCGCTCCAGCTGAGGCTGGCCCTTCTCCCCATCCTTGGGCGCCCGAGTTACCCCTGATGATGTGGGGCTCTGGACGCCCGAATTATCCGGGGTGACTCGGGTCCAGGGTAAGTCGGGTTTGGATTCCCGAAAAACGAACCCGAGTTAGCCCTGACCCGAGTAACCCCTGATGATTCGGGGCTCTGACATCCTGTGCTTGTGGAGGGGTGAGCTGAGGCGGCGGATGCGGACCGGTATCGGGCCGAGCCGACCCGAGAACTGCCTTGGGTCACACGTCAAAAGCCGGCGGCACGCGGCCTGCCGTGCGCGCCGAGTCGACGCCGATGTGCAGGCTGAGGAGGGAGGTCCGATGCCGCGCCAAGGGGAAGGGAACGGGGCGCCCTGCCCATCCTCCTTGGCCTCCTCTTCCTCCTCCTCCTCCTCCTCCTCCTCCTCCTCCTCCTCCTCCTCCTCCTCCTCCTCTTCCTCCTCGGCGCTCGGCGCTGTCGGCATCAGAATCCTCCACGGATGTCCTGCCCTCTCCCGCACCCCCGCGCGCCCGCGCTGGGGCCCCCGCCGGCGCGTGCGCCGAGACCGGTGGAGGCTCAGGGAGCCCTTCTGCACGAGGGAGACGCCGTCGCTCCTGGAGGTGGCGTTTCTGTATAGGAGCCGATGGTGGTCAGAGTCCATCGGACAAGCGCGTTCCACTGTTCGCAAAGTACATCGCAAAGTACATACTCTCGAAAAAGAAAAAAGCTATAAGTAAATAAGCTTTTGACGCTCCGCGCGGCTTGCTTGGATCTGCGCTGGAGCGCCCTGGCGGCGCATCAGGCGCCGCACCTGGCGCGCTCCGCGTGCCAGGGAGGGGGGTCCCGGGGTCCGGCGCAGATCCAAGAAATCCGCGCGGACCGTCGAAAGTTTATGTTTATGCAGTTTTCTCTTCGTCTATGCTCGCACATGGCCTGGACCCGCCGCGGGGGATCCACGATCCACTACGCAGAGGAAGGCATGGCACGTTTTGGCATTGCTTGGCGTTGACCGGCATTGCTTGATATTGCTGCGCTTTGTTGTGCATTGATTGGCATTGCTTGGCGTTGCTTGGCATTGCTCGGCTTTTCTTGCTATTACTCAGTCGTCCTTGGCATTGCATGGCGTTGTCTTGTGTTACTTTGCGTTGCTGGGCGTTGCTTGGCGTTGCTAGGCATTGCTTGGCGTTGCTTAGCGTTGCTTAACATTGCTTTGCTTTGCTCTGCATTGGTTGGTACTGTGTGGCAATGCTTGCTTGGCATTCCATGGCATTGCTCCGCAGCGCGTGGAATCCCACCAGCCCTTTAGGGCGTAGGTGGTCTAGGGAGTTTCCTCTGCCAACCCCCCTTCTTTCCCTTCGGGGAGGGGTTTACCCCTCCCCTTACCCCTCCCCACTGACCTGGACGAGGCGTCTCGCGAGGTGTCAGGGCGCCCAAGATGGCTCAAGACGGCTCCAAGAGCGAAAAAGCGAGAAAGCACAAAACATTGATTCTACCTAGGTTTTGGAAGGATTTTGGCCTCTTGGGGGGGCCCAAGAGGCGCTTCGAGGCACTCTAGAGGGGCAACCCTAATTGGAGCTCCCCCCTTCTTTGATAGATCTCCTCCAAGATGGCCCCAAGAGCGCCCCGAAGGCTCCCAAGAGCGCCCCAAGAGCGCCCCAAGAGAGCCCCAAGAGGCCCCAAGAGGCCCCCAAGATGCCTCCAAGAAGCTCCCAAGAGACCCCCAAGAGGCCCGAAGATGCTCCCAAGATGGCCCAAGACGGCTCCAAGAGCGAAAAGGCGAGAAAGCAAACAACATTGATTTTCCTTAGGTTTTGGACGGATTTTGGCCTCAAGAAGGGCCCAAGAGGCGATTCGAGGCACTCTAGAGGGGCAGCGCTAATATACGACCCTCCCTTCTTTGATCGATCTCCTCCAAGATGGCCCCAAGAGCGCCCCGAAGGCTCCCAAGAGCGCCCCAAGAGCGCCCCAAGAGCGCCCCAAGAGGG